TGAGACAGAGCCTTTGGAGAGTCCTTAACTATGCACGTGGGTGAGCAGTGAGCTGTCAGTCTTCTCATTCCCCGTGGGACTAAATCTTTCATCAGCATCCAGGTGTGCTCCAGGGACGTGTGGCATGCTGCTCTGCATTGCCCCGAGAGAGGCGAGGTCCTTGTGGGGGGCCAAAGGCTGAGCCCACACAAAGGCAGGCATAAGCAGATGTAGAGGAAGCACTCAGGTGTGTGAAATGGGTGTAATGCTGATGTGCTTACCTACATCATGTGCTGTTAACCCTCCTAGCATTAGGGAAGGAAGTGCCAGCAACCATTTTATAGACGAGGAAAGAAAGGCTCAGAGAGGTCCTTTTTGCAGGAATGTGATGGGAGAAGGAATGTTTCAGGTGGAGAAAATGATCAATCACTCTGTCCAGGCTGGCCTCCTGAGAGGCCTGGAGCTCACAGCAAAGACCCTGGAGTTGCAGTTGCGAAGAAACCCAGTTTAACCAAAACCCCAGCTCTGCTCCTTTCTAGTCACATGCTGACCTCCTGAGCTTGCTTCCTCATCCACAGAGTGGGCACCAAGAGAGTGGTTGCTGACAGTAAAGGAGAAAACATACAAGTGCTTGCCTAGTGCTGATAAACACTAGCAGCTCCACGAGTGCTCCCGCCTGGACCTGAAGCAGCTGGGCTTGTAACCCTTTTCTCAAGGATAGGTCCAGTCTGCCCGGCCTTGAGACGCATACACAGGTACTTCAAAAAGCTCATAAAAAGATTTGCATTATCTTCTAATTCTATTTTTCCATGAATTTTTTGAAGTACCCTCATAGTCAGAGCCTGGTCTGGCTGCCCAGCAGCCCCGAGGCACACTCTTCTCCCAGGCCCCCCTTTCCCAGCCTCGGCATCTCTGCCAGGACTCTGCCCTGCCGGAATGGCTCCCGCTCCCTAACGCTGGCTTTCTGAGAAGGGACAGGCATATTTCATGTAAAGAGTAGCTCAAAAGTAGGGCTCTGGGGTACAACATGGTATTTCAGGGAAACTCACAACCCAAACCCTCTAGCCCCCACAGCTCACTGTTCATGTTAACTTCTTTATTCCACTGTCTTCTTCAATATAACCATACTATTCCAGGAAACTCTTGCCCAGGAAATAAAAGTTGTAAATACTTGTAACTTTACTATTCATTCCAGGAGCTTTCTGAAAGAATCATTTAAAAGGAACAGCAAACTGCTCAACTCTTAGTACCATCAAAAGAGTTTACACCCCAAGTCTCTTTGAACCCTTTGCCTCAAAGTTCCCTCCTTGCTGTGTCGACCCATACTAAACCATGTCATGATCTTTACTGACTCCTAATAAAGGCTTCCTCCCCTGCACTGAAAGCCCCACCTAAAACCAGATTCTGAAATCTCTAACTTCTCGACTGCCTCCCCTACTCTGACATTCCAGGAAAGCTCTGTCGAGGTTGAGAGCTCCCTCATGGCAAGAAGAGTAGGATCAGCTTTGTCCGAGTAACAGTTTGATCTGGTGATATGTTGGTGAGCCAGCGTTGGCCAAGAACCACGCAGGTGGCATTCCTCTCCCTGACCTTTGGGGTGGGGGAGGGCAGCAGCCTGAGTCTAGGCTAATCCACAGGGGACACTTAGTTATAAGTGATAGCAGGGCCCTCAGAAATAGTGACAATGTGAGTTCTAGAAGGGGCCTTGGGGATCTCCTGGTGCAGCACCTTCATTTTACAGACAGGAAACACGGCCTGGAGAAGGAAAGAGATTTGTCCAAATCACAAAGCAAGATGGGATTGTTACAGGGATGAAATGAGTTAATATCTGTAATGCACTTAGACACAGCCTGGTACCCACTAAGCTGTATGTGCGTTTGTTAAATAAAAATAATGGAGCATCTGGCCTAAAACTCAAAGCAAACTCAAGTTGGCCTCTCAGATTTATAAACAAAGCCTGACTTTAACTTCGAACCCAGCACAGCGGTTCTGCAGATTGAGCATGCATTGGAACTGTCTGGAGGGCTTATTAAAACAGTGCTAGGACCCAACCCCAGAGCTTCTGATTCAGTAGGGCCGAGAATTTGCATTTCTAACCAGCTTCTCGGTAGTGCTGATGCTGTGGGTCCAGAGACCCCTCTTTGAGAACCATGGACCCAAAGGAACAAATTACTAAGGGAGTCATTTCCGGCAGACTTGGAGATAGCTGGCCTCTTCATCTGTCCCCAGGTATGCAGTTTTGCCCAGGGCTGCTTTCTGCTCTGTAGCAGCAGTGCAGCTTTGGGCTGTGCATCAATTCTGCTTGGCTACACCTGTCCTCACCTGTGACTATTCGGGGTATCACCCAATCTAGCTCCCTTTACCTCATGCTTTCAACAAGAGCAGCTCCTGGGCCGGCCCGGTGGCGCACTGGAGAGTGCGCCGATTGGGAGCGCGGCGGCACTCCCGCCGAGGGTTCGGATCCCATGTGGAGACCGGTTCCCGCTCACTGGCTGAGCGCGGTGCGGGCGCAACACCGAGGGTTGCGATCCCGTTGCCGGTCCCCGGTACAGGTGCGACACCGAGGGTTGCGATCCCGTTACCGGTCAGTAAAAAAGACAAAAAGGAAAAAGAAAAAACAAGAGCAGCTCCTCTTCGCATGAGGGCTGGCTTGTCACCAAGGATACAGGAGGTCTGTGCAGTAAGAATGAATCAAACACCAAGCAGGCAGATGAAGCCAGTGCATTCTTTATTGCAGACAGAAGCTAAGGGGCTCACTCACACTGTGAGCTCTGATTTGGGGGCTTCTCTGACTTCCCAAGCTTTCCCAGAGAAGCAAGGGCAAATTCTCCAAGCACAGTAGAAAACAACTTCCAGAAGCAGCCTCTTCAAAGGGCTTATGGTAAGGCCCTGAGGAAGCAGGCAGCTTGGCATACGGGGGTAACCAGAAAAGCAGGGTCTGAGGGGCCAACAAACCCAGCCCTCATTTCCTGATGACCACAGGATGCTTCCACCACTGGGAGTGTCAGGAAGACTCTGGAAAGATCTAAGAGGCCAAAGGTCTCAACAGGGCTGGGTTAGGGTGGGGGCTGAGCACAGACTCAGATCCCTGGAGGTAGCAGGAGGAGAACTGAATCTTCACCCTCTACTCAGAGGACATCCCCAGGGTCACCCCTGGTCCCTCTCTTCTCAAACTGTAAAGTGCTTGTAGGAATCAGCTGGAGATCTTGCTAAAATGCAGGCTCTGAGTCGGTAGGTATGGGTGAGGCCTGAGACTCTACATTTCTAGCAAGCTCCCTGGTGATACTGCTGCTGCTGGTCCACAAACCGCACTCCCAGTTGCAAGGCTCTGATCACACAAAACGCCTTTGTGCTTAGCAGAAAGCATGCCTCTTCTTCCACAAGGAGAAATGCCATTCCAGGACATGGGGTGGGTGAGGCCAGCCCCTCCTGGACTGGACTTCAGTTCCTACTTGCCCCTGACATCCACAGCTGAACTTGGTATCCTTTGAGATCCTGCCTTGATGCCTCATCCTGAAAAGCCCTTCCCTGGAGTTTTGCCAACTAGGCTCTGGGATATGAGCAGAGTGAACAAGGTCTTTCCTGGGATACTGAGTGCTCAGTGACAGGCCAACTATGGTCCAACCTGTCAGCTCCTTGGCGGCCTGCAGAGGGGAAGGGAACTGGGAGCATGTGAGAAGGAGTGACTCCTCTGAGCAGTGGTAAAGTGGCCATTGGTTCACAGGACACAGGATTTGGGTGGCCATGCTTTGCCCCAAGTCCTAGGGCATCAGGTGCCTCCACAGACTCAGAGGAAGATGCAGACCAGGTGGGGCATGGGGCAGCTCTGAGTCTGCTTATTCCACAGATGAGGAGAAGGTTGGAGGTAGATACCTGGGGGATCAAGCGGTCAGAGGTTCTCCAAACCACAGGTGTTACCAGAAACCAGGAGCCCAGGCCCTCTCCTGGCAGGGAACCAACCATCTCTGCTTGCCTGGTACTGTCCCAGTTTTAGCACTGGAAGTCCCACCTCCTGGGAAACTTCTCAGTCCCAGGCAAATCATGATGGCTGGTCACCCTATTGCTTGGCCATATCCTAGACCCCACATAAATAGCACTGAAATGACTAGGTCATCAGGGCTTTGGGTGGTGGCCAGGGAGCTGGCTGGCTGTAAATGCAGTGGTCCACAGTGCCTTCTTCCCCCAGGGGGGCCATGACAAGGCAGCCAGACTGCTATTGGAGGGAGACTGCAGTGAGAGTGGCCATCTAATTACCCTGAACCAGAGCCACAGGCGCAAATGGCTTTGTTTCTCTCTGCGCCACCTCTCCTGTAGTTCAGGGTGTAATGCCAGGCACACTGGTCACCACCAAGGAGGGATGGAGCACTCAAAACTTCCTATCCCACCAATTTCTTAACCATGAGGAAAGACAGTGCTGCCTTGATTTACTCCCCAGTTCCCTGCCCAATGGTCCTCGGGCTCCTACATAAAAGTTCTCACCCTGCTACAGGGCCAAGCCACACTCTCTCTGCAGCTCTCTCAGGACTCCTGGTTCAGGCTCCTGCCAGTCCAGGCACCCACAGGGCTGAGGATGGGGCCCTGCGAAGGGCCTCACCCAGGTTGGTTCTCAGGAAGCAATAAATATTTGGAAGTAGTTTTCTACTCCAATCAGGGCAGCGACTGACTCTCAGCACTAAAAACAAGGCCTCAAACCCGCAGGGCCCAGAGAGTGCTCAGTGATGCTCACCTGGGGGGTCAGAAGATGCATGATGTAACGAGGCTCAGAGAGGGCAGGAAGTCTGCCCAAGTTTGCACAGCAGCTATGAGTGCCCAGAGTCCAGGCTCCAGCCCCCACCTCGCCTCCTGCCTCCGGGCGCGTTCCAGAGCCCACTACTGCTCAAAGCGATCTACCCCGGATCCTCTCTACCCCGGACCGGCTGCACCCCTCCCACCACGCGCTGCTCGGCCCACCCACCCCGCTCCCATGGGCCCATGGACTCCCTCCCCTCTGCCAGCCAGGCCAGCGGCCTCCGTCCCTTGCCGGGTGGGCACGAGCAGGGGCTTAGGATGGGGAGCGGTGTGCGCCCTCCGGCGACGTGAGCATGTCAAACTTGATGAGCGGCGGGGCGATCACGCGCACGTCGGCGTTGAGCGGGTTGAAGCGGAGGTTGACGCTGCGCAAGGCGGGCATGGTGGCCAGCTTCTCCACCGGCACGTCTGTGGGGAGAGAGGGGACAGGTTAGCGCGCCACGCCCAGCAGGGGCCGAGGCGGCTGCACGGGAGCGGAGGCGGGCGGCTCCCGGTCCCTGCTGGGGCCCTCCAGGATGTGACAGCCACACGGAGGGAAGCATCTTTGAAAATAAGGACCAGGTTTCTCGAAAAGTTACACATAGGCTTGCCGTATAACGCAGCTATTTTACTGCGAGGTCGAAGTGAAAGAATTAAAAATAAGTACAGCTGTCCCTCGGGGACTGGTTCCAGGACCCCCGAGGATACCAAAACCCACCGGTGCTCAAGTCTCTTATGTAAAATATCATAGTATTTGCACATTACCTACATGCATCTTCCGGTATACTTTAAATCAGCTCTAGCTTACTTATAATACCTAATACGATGTAAATGCTATGTAAATAATTGTTATTCTGTATTTCTTATTTGCATTATTTTTATTGTTCTATTGTTATTTTATATTGGTTTTTTTTCCGAATATTTTCCATCCGCGGATAATGAGGACCGACTCTAATACGTTTACATGAATGTTGGCAGCAGCACTATTCACAACAGCCAAATGCCCATCAGTGGATGAATGCATACACAAAACATGGTATACATGTACAATAAAATGTTATTCAGCCATAAAAAGGGATGAATTCTGCTATGTGCTACAACATGGATGAACCTTGAAAATACCATGCTAATGAAAGAAGGCAGGCACAGAAGGACAAACAGCGTATGACTCCACTTCCAAATTCACAGAGACATAAAGCAGAACAGCAGCTACAGGAGCTCGGGGAGGGGGGACTAGGAAGCTAGTGCTTCATAGTTAAGAGTTTCTTTTGGGGTAATGAAAAAATTCTGGAAATAGATAGTGGTGATAGTTGTACAGCACTGTGAATATAGTTCATGCTGCTGAGTGGTACACTTCAAAATGGTTAAAATGGCAAATTTTATGTTATATATATATTTATCACAATTTTAAACATTAATGTAATATACCAAAAAACACTGAATTGTATACCTTAAATGGATGAATTGCATAGTATGTGAATTATATTTCAATAAACCTTTTAAAAAACAAAGATTATGAAGTTAAGAACATTCTAGCTGAGAGGGGAGGCTGCACATAGCAACCCACGGAAATTCTCGCTAACTCTGGGAACGCCACTCTATATCACATCACCTGGTCATCGTGCCCCCAAAGAGTCCCTGAAGGAGGAGGAGGCCCGACTATCCCGGCTCCATCAAAGGGAACTTAGTGAAAATTTTAACTTATCAGGACTCTTGATAATGTTTCCCTCCCAAATCGTAAGAGCTGTCTGGGAAGTTCTAGATTAGATTAATTGAATCATCACCCAGAGATTAAATGGCCTCTGGAAACAAAACAAACTGATTTCTTGATACAGTTCTAGTTTCCAGATTTTAATGTGTAGAAATTAGAAATCAAGTTTCAAATGGTCATCCACTTAATTTACATAAAGATACTAAAGCATTTCCCAAAACTCATTAAAAATGTCACATTGTAACAAATATAGAGTTGGTAATCTAAATAATTTGAAGTCCAATATACTGAGTTATAAGAGGCAGAGCAGCACAGCATCCCAGACATGGAATTCAACAGACCTAAGCTGAAGTCCCAGCTTAAACACCGACTAACTTAATTACTTCTCTGTACCTTGGTTTCCTAATCTTGAAAGTGGAAATAACGAATCTTTTCTCAAACAGGTAGGGAGTGACTACTTATTGGTACGAGGTCTCCTTTGGGGTGACAAAAGTGTTTTGGAACTAGATAGAGGTGATGGTTACACAGCATTGTGAATGTACTGAATACCACTGAATTGTACACTTTAAATAGTTAATTTATGTGGTTCATTTTATGTGAATTTCACCTCACTTAAAAAAAGAAAGGACCAGAATAGGCAGCAGCTACATTACCACTTGACAACACTTTATAATCCCTCCCACCTAACCTTTAGGATCAGTCTTCAGGTGAAGTCCCAGGTCTGCCATGTAACAGCTGTGTGGCCTAAAGCAAATTATTAAATTTCATATCAGGGTAAGAACATTATAGTACATACCTTGCAGGGTTGAATGAGATAATATATGTTATCAATATTCAGTGAATGTTAGTACATACCTTGCAGGGTTGAATGAGATAATATATGTTAACAATATTCAGTGAATGTTAGATATTATTATTAAAGGAAACTGAGGCCTCGAGAACTTAAGTAACTTGCCTAAGGTCACAAGCTCATAATCAGCTGAGCCCCGATTTGAATCCAGCTCTCAAAAAGCCTGCAGGAGTTCTGGGGAAGGAGTGGCCAGGCTGGACTCAGGGGTGGCAGCTGAGTTAGGCCCTGAAGGATGGACAGGATTTGAATGGTGGAGGTCTTGTTGTTGGAGAGAAGTAGAGGCAAAGTGGGGGAGGGGGGATGGGCAGGATGCCAGAGAAAGAGCAGGAAGGGGAAGGGCTAGAGCGCTGTCTCAATGGCTTCTAGAGCCTTCCAGGTTTAGATCCTGAGGGTGTAACCCTGCAGGTAGTTAGGAAAGCAAGGACTACGAGATCTCTCAGCCCAGGTTGCCAGGCACTCCCATCTCGTCCCAGGGAGCCCCGAGGGACCACTTTGATCTGTTTTTCTGTTCCCCACTTTGGACCACCATGTGAAGGATTCTCTACTTAGGGAATGCATATTGTGGCTTAAAGAATGATTCCAGACCACCCATATCACATCCCAGCTCTGCCATTTTCCAGCTGTGTGCCCCTGAGCAAGTTAATCAAACCGTCTGTGACTCAGTTTCCTCATCTGTGAAATGGGGCTACAACAGCACCTATCCAATGGGGTGGCGGTAAGGATTAGAGGACTTAATACAAAGCATTCAGGACAGGGGCTGGAGAACAGACAGTCGATAACCAGGAGTGAATGCTGTCACATACAGCCCAGGGATGGGCTGTCCAGGATGTAGCCCTGTCCAGGCCGAGGTCCTTGCTGCCTTCCCTCTGTCCTGATCCAGTTCTGTGAGCAGCCAGGTCCCATATAGCCTCCCACCCCAGCCCAGCACAGGGCCAGGGTCACCCTGCCCTGAGTCCCGCACAACTCAGGCCAACAGTGATGGCAAGAGCCAGCTCCTGTCCTCTCCTGGCACCACGTGTCGGCCAGAGCTGAGGGATTTTTTTGTTTTTGTGGTTGTTCTGTTCTTTAATTTTGGACCACAATGGTGAGTCTTATGCTCACATTTTTAATGTAGGTAAATGGTGTTGTGCTACAGATCTTGTCCCCTTTCTATATTTTTTCACTAAGCACCACTAAAAATCTTCGTTTTTTAAATTTATTTTTAACTTTTGGTTATGGCAAAATAACACAAAAATTTACCATCTTAACCATTTTTTAAGTGTGCAGCTGAGTAGTGTAAAATACATTCTCACTGTTGTGCAACCAACCTCCAGAACTTACAAAATTGAAACTCTGAACCTATTAAACACTGACTCCCCATCTCTCCCTCCCTCCAGCCCCCGGCAACCACCATTCTACTTTCTGTCTCTATGAACTGAACTAGTCTAGATGCCTCATATAAATGGAATTATACAGTATTTGTCTTTTTGTGACTGGCTTATTTCTCTTATAATGAGTACAATGAATCTTGAGTATAATGTCAAGTTTCATCTATGTTGTAGCATGTGTCAAATTTTCTTTCCTTTTTAAGGCTGAATAATATTCCATGGTATGTGTGTATATACCGTATTCTGTTTATCTGTTCATCTGTTGATGGACACTTGGGTTGCTTCCATCTCTTGGCTATTGTTAATAATGCTGCTATGAACACGGGTGTACAAATACCTCTTCAAGACCCTGCTTTCTGTTCTTTTGGGTGTGTACACAAAAGCGGAGCTGCTGAATCATACGGTGATTCTATGTGTACTTTGTTGAGAAAACACCACACTGTTTTCCACAGTGGCCGCATCACTTTACTCTCCCACCAACGTGCACAAGGGATCCAATCTCTCCACATCCTCACCAGCACTTGCTATGCCTGCTTTTCTTTTTTTTTTTTTTAATAGCAGCCATCCTAGTGGGTATGAGGTAATATCTTACTGTGGTTTTGATTTGCATTTCCCTAACGATTAGTGTCGTTGAGCATCTTTTCATTTGCTTGTTGGGCTAAAAAAATTCTAATCTGAGATACACATACAATAAAATGCTTAAAGTACAGGTAGGTATACAGTTTGATCTTTTCTGTATATGTATACACTCATGTGTCCTCCAACCAGATCAAGATGTAAAACATTTCAAGACCCCTATAGGGTTCCCCTGTGACCCTTTCCAGTTTCAACCCTCTGATTTTCCTCATCATTAATCGGGCTTGAACCTAATATAAATGAAGCCATACAGTATGGGTCAGGCTTTCACTCAAACATCTTTAGACTTTCAGTTTAAGAATTTTTTATTTGGAATATTTGAATATTATTTTAAGTCTCTCTCCCCCCCTCCCCTTTTTATTTGGAAATAATTTCTAATTTACAAAAAGTCACAAAACAGCAGCATCTAAAACATCATATACCCTTTACCCAGATTTACCAATTGTTAACATTTTATTATATTTGCTTTATCATTTGTGCTTGCATTCTCTCCCCCTAACCACACGCACTTTTTTCCTCAATCATTTGAGGGTCATATACACACATCACGGCCCTTTCCCCCTACTTCAGTGTGTATTCCCTAAGAATAGGGACATTCTCTTACATAACCACAATTCAGCTATGGATTGCATGAATTTGCATTGATAGAACACTTATCTAACATATGACCCATGTGTCACTATGGTCAGGTGACCTTATAGCACTTTCCCCCTCTAGTACCAGACCCAGGCTAGGATCAGGTATTGCATTTAGTTATTGTGTCTCTTTGGGCCACTTTAATTTGTCTTCTATGACATTGACATTTTGGAAGAATACCACACTACCACTCCTGACTTTTTAATAGAGTCCCTCATTTTGTGTGTGGCATTTCCTTGTGTTTCCATTGGGATTATGCATCCTCAGCTGAAAGACTTGCACAGGGGAGTGTGTCCTTTTCGGGTATCACATCAGGAGGCACACAAAGTCCATCTTTAATGTTAATTTTGATCACTCGGTCAAGGTGTTACTTGATTTCCCCACTGTATAATTACTGCTGTGTTTTTTCTCCCTTGCAACTAACAAGAAGTCTGTGGGATGCACTTTAAGAGCATGCAAATACCCTGCTTCTCATCAACATTTAGTTTCTGCTGCCCCTAGATTTCGCATCTGCTGATGATTCTTGCCTGACCTGCTCGTTATGATTGCTGTGAAATGATTTTCCAATGCCAACA